GGGGGGGTGACCCGTGAGCTGCATCTGTCTCCGCGGGCCAGTGCTGGAGCCGGTGGGTGCGGATGGCGCTCCGAGCAGCCGGACAGAAACCTCCCCAAGGTATTCGAGGGGCCAGACGTGGCCTGCTTGGCTCATCCTGCCCTTGCCTTCCCCAGATGAAGGGCCGCCCGCCTCATTCAGCAGTGCCATGTCAGTGTTCAGCAGAAAGGCCCGGGTGAGGATGCAGCTCCTGAAGGACGTGGTGGGAAACGACACCTACCGTGTCAACAACAAGTACGACAGCACCTACGACCCTCTCCCGGTGAGGAGGATCATCCAGCAAGCCCAGTACTTCATTGACCAGGAGGTGTCCTACGACCTGCTCGGCAACAACTGTGAGCACTTTGTGACGACGGCGAGGCGGTCTCTGACCAGGTGAGTAACGCGGGGTGAGCGCCTGCACGCCTCGCAGGGCATCTCCTGGCTGCTCCGTTTGAGCCCTTGGACTTGGGGCACAGCCTGGAAACGGCATGGGGACAGCAAAGCCCCAGGCGTGGGGTCCAGACTGTTACTGTCTCTGGTCTCTCAAGAGACCTTGGACCAGGAGGTTCACTGTGGTCTGTCTGCACCCTGACCTGAGCACACCAAGTGTCCCCTGACTGAATGCCGTAGCCCAGGGCTAAAATCCTGGATGTTACTGGTTCTGCAGGGCAGGTGTGTCTCATTGATTTAATTGCCGTGATTATCCCTGCCTGCTCTTCATTAGTGTGCCTGAGGATTTAAAAAAAAAAAACAAAAAACAAAAAACAAACCAAACGAAAACCTCCACACCTCAGTATTTTTCCAGGCTGCGTTTTACTTCCCCTTTGCAGGCCAGCCGAGCGGTGGGTGCCGTTGGGATTGTAACAGTGGCTGCCGGTGCCTTAACCTTGCTGGGCTTCCTCCGGAGCAGATCCAGAGACACGCAGTACTGACGCACCCGCTGGGACAAGCTTGGAACGGGACAGAGGGACCCGAGACAGGTTGTGGCCACAGCTGATGCTGAGAGATGTCTGTCAGAGGCTTGCTATTTTTGTCTGCTCTTTATATATACATAGCAAACAAAAACTTTTTAAAAATATCATTTGTTTCAATGTTTGAAATGACAAAGCCAGGACTCCTGGTCATATCTTGTAGTGCCTTCTGAAACTGTATTTAAATAAAGGTCTTTTCTAATCTGGGAAAACATGTTATAATCAAACTGAAATGGAAAGTCCTATTTCGCTTCCTGGGAATGTAATCAAAAATTCTTTCGTGGCTAGCAGTTGAACAGTTTGAAGGTGAAAGAGCAAGCACAGGGGGGGCTTAGCTTCTTGTAGCTGTCTAGCAGCCGTGTACCAGAGCAATTTAAAATCCCTGCTTCTTGGCGTGACCTAGTTAAGACAAGAAGCCAAGGCTCAGCTCTGTTTTCTGCCACGTGACAACAAACCTGGGCCAGGACCTGGCAGTGGCAGAGCACAAACTGGGAGGGGGGGGCGGTGTGTGTTTGTGTGCAGCAGTTGTGCTGTCCCCTGCCTTTGCAACCTTAAGTGGGGCATATCCTCACCAGCTGTTCCAGCCTAGTCTTACAGTAATCTGTGAGCTTTACCCTCTTTTACACTCTCAGAGCATTATGTCTGCAAGCACTGGCAAGGGAGAGCTGGATGAGGGCAGTGCATGCAGCCTCTCGCTCTGGGATGCAAGGAAACTGGCATTACTTCATGTGGGGAGCTTTCTTGTAGTTCCTAGAAGCTGCAGCATTTCCCCAAATGCCGGATTTTGCAATTGTATATGTGGTCCAGTTAAGATTAGGTTGCTTATTTTGGATTGCCTTCCCATCAAGCCTGGTGGGTGCATTGACAGGATTTGGTGGAGCAGTGACTGAAACCACGGAGTGGGAGTGAGATGTGGAGCGTCAGAAGCTATTGCTTTGCTGCCTATGGTGTTTTTCAGCCTTTGCAGGAGTCGTTGGCAAAGCCTGAAACCTGCTGCTGCCACAAGGTAGAGTCAAGACTGTTATTTTACCAGCAGCTGAGAGAATAATGCTTGCCTGTGGTTCAGGGCACAGCCAGTGCAGGCCAAGCCTGCTCCTGAATGGATGAGTTTGTGCAGGGATTTCAGACATCTGAATCTGGTGCACAAAGGGTGAAAACACAGGGTGTTCAGTGCCAGTTGGGGAAGCTGCCAGCACTGCACAGCCTCACATCTGGCTGCAGGGTGTTGCCTAGTCCTCGTCACTGTACTCATAGGTGGGGTTAATGTAAATCTCATCCGTGCTTTTTGCTGCAAAGTCTTTAACATTTAGAGGAGGCCAGTTGGGATCCCTCTGCAGTGTCTTCTGCCATTTTCGGTACCGGCTCTTTGACTGGTACCCAATCCAAGCTTTAATCAGCAGCCAGAGGTGCTTGTTCTGCAAAATAACATCCTGTGGAGTGACATAGTGCAGAGTCAGTACTCTTGCCCTTCACTGGAAGGGAAGACCAGTTGGGGGCAAAAGCCATCTGGGGCAACTCCCCTGGAGCCCCATGGCACTGGGCAGCTCCCGTCTGGTAATGTGGCTAACAAATGCCACCTTCCTCATCCACAGGAAGGTTCTGATCAGTTGTATCAGGACAAGACCGATCAGTCTGTTTAGCTGAAGGGGATAAGCAAGGGGCAAGGTTTTCCTCCTGGATATGTGGGACAGCCAGGCACTGCTACTCCTTGCAGGGGACACCTGGTGCTGGATAAACCACCTTTGTCCCACAAAACACTTTAGGGTTTAGTAATTACTGCAATACCCAATGGTACAAGCTGGTGCGGTCTCTGGCCTGGTCGATTTTAGGACAAGAGGGAAGCAGTGGTTTCAAAATCACTGCCAACTCCCTGACCCACGCTGCGGTCTGCTCCCCTGCCAGTCAGGGCAGCGGGCTCCTCCTGTGCAGCTGCGCTTCAGCTAGGACCCCCTTTAAAGTCTTAAGAGATGTGGTTTGAATCATCTCTGGGGCTGCATAAAATGGATTTGACTGACACACAGTCTTAAGAGAAAAAAAATAAAAATGCAAGCCCTGTGAGTTTATGCTTCTGTGTGCCTGCAAATGAGGGAGGTAGAAAGACCTAATGAGACACTGCTCCTGTTTGTCCCAAGAACAGGTGGTAAACAAATGCACTCACCTCTGTAACTAAAGATACACAAAAGTTGACCAAAAGCATCAGTAAGATGTAAACTCTCCATATCACAGGAGTGCAAAGAAGCTGTTGGAAAAGACATGAACACCAATTAGCTTTAAATGCTTTGCCAAGATTTACATCCCTCCCTAATGATTTGAGAAACTGCCTTGTGTTTTCCCAGCAGCAGGCATGGAGGAGGCAGTAGGAAGTGACAGTAATTCCTTGTCACAGAGATCTAGAAGGTTCGATGCCCAATTCCCCATGGCACAGAGCTGCCTAGCTCATCTTGGCTACTTAAGTTGCTACTGAAACTTGCAGATCAGGTGCCCGGCGCAGGATCTGCTGCCCAAATAGTTCTGAGGAGCTGCAGCTAATGCACAACATATGGCTCATCTCCCTCTGTGCTTGCCCGCCGTAACACCAGGCCTCCAACCTCAATACAGGGATGGCCAAGGAGGAGCTGCAGGGCTTGGCCGTTCCAGAGGTTGGGCAGCACAGCTGCAGGCAGCAGCTGCTCCGTGCCCAGGCTGAGCGCCCGGGAGGACAGAGGCAGCCCAGCCCTGCGTCAGCTCATGGTGCTCCAGGGAGAGCGGGGAGGGAGGAGCAGCAATCCCTGCCCACTCGCTTCTCTGGCCAATAAACCTCCTCCATCATACAAAACCACAATCCACCCTATTGTGCTCTTCTGTTAGGAAGGAAAGCTCAGCCAGCTATAAGCACTTTTTCTTCTCCCATTAATCAAGCCCTTGTCAGAAGGACGTCAGAGAAGCCTGAAAGGGCAGCCCAATCAGCAAATTCATTTCCTAGATGGCCGTAGCTGTAGCATCTGCTCTGTGTGCTTAGGTAAAGGGCCCGGAACATACACGGAATGCAAAGGAAATGCACGTTTCGCTAGCACTTACTTGCATGCCACTGTACACAGCATCAATGTCAGCGAAGAAGAGGAAGAGGCAGGTAGCAAGCTGGAGGACCAGGACGACTGAAAATAAATCTGGAGAAAGACAAGTATTTGTGGCCCTGAGAAGGAGGGGCATTTGGTGACCAGATTGCTAGTATAGTGGCAGCAGCCCAAAATGGTAATGCTATAAAACTACCATAATGTGAAATACCTTTTTTTCTGTCCCCCTAAAAGAAGAGCTGTGAAATTGAAACTAGAGAAGCTACTCCCTGGCAGCTTGTTGCAAGACTCACCACCTGCATCGTTTTTTTATTGCACAAGTAATTTGGCACATTCTGATTCCTGTACAACCACAGAAAATTGCCATGAAGGGACACTGCTGTGAGCACACCAGCACCCTTTTCACTGCGCCCACTCCTCCACATGCTCAACCATAGGCCTTGAACACAGGCAGCAGAGGAAACTACTTGTTCTCACAGGCTGCCCTCCCAGGAAGAGGCAGGTGCTTCTGTGACCAATAGGGTACAAAGGTGGGTTGGCTAACCTGTGCCTTCTATAGGAAGAGTCTGTCTGGCTTTGCGTCCTCTTCCAAAAGGGCAGGAGGTCACAAAGTGATGGTAAATGGCTCAGACATCCAGAGGTGCCAAACTCCTGGCAATTACCAGGAGCAGAGCAGCTCATAATTAGCTGACAAGTTGGATCAGCAGCTCCCAACAGCCTCCTGACAACCTTCTCACTGCCAGGGGGTAGAGGGGACTGAGCTGAGTGGATGGCAAACCCAAGGGAATTGCCCTTTGCTTCCTCTTAGGAATTGTCCCCAAAGAGGGTTAAAACACAGAGGTATGTGTGCAGGTTTCTCAGCTGACAGAGTTCTCTGTCCTGTCTCAGCCTGGCTGTATGCAGGACAGCTTCTTTCTGGTCTCACATGTCTTCTGTAGGAGATTAGTGCTCTGTGAAATGGGTTTGGGACCTGGCTATTAACAAAATACCTAACAAAATCAACTCTGCTAACATGAAGCAAAGTCCTGCCCTCTCATCCATGAGCTGCTACTACAAAGGAGCTATCAGTCAACAGATGGGTAGAAGGGCTAAATCATCTCTGCAAAACTCAAACAGAAAAAGAAAGGTTATTGTGAGAAGATTCCAACAGTTGTATTATCACAGACTTTTCTCTCTCGTCTCTAAGAATGGAAGTCAGGCAAGGTAAGTCTGTGAATCTCAGAGGAACTCTTTGATGTATGTATTTCAGAACAAATACATCTGATCCTCATATGGTCTCTGTGTTCACAGTGACACACAGTTCTGGACTAAACCCAGCCTATCACCTTCTGCAAAAAACAAGATTCAGTCTCCTTTCTCAGCTCTGCTGCTTCTTATCTCAAGGAAGAAGCTGACATAAGCAGTGCTCACTGAGCTTTTCTTTGTAATGGAGAAGTAGGAGCATCTATTATTTTACTTGTCAGTCACTGGTGTGGGAACAGAAAAATCCACAGCATCCCTTCCCTAGCAGCATCTCCTGCCTGGGTTATTTTGGGGCAGGAACAGGAGTCTGCAGGGTACATGTTACTTCAGCTCTACTCACGGTTGGTGTAGATGGGCTTCCGGAAGGGCTTTCCCTTGGAAAAGACGAAGGCAACAATGATGCAGTTTATAGAAGACAGTGGCCACAGTGTAGTGTCTTCGTAACTGAGGACCATGCTCTGGGCACTGCTGCTGGTACCATTTTCGCCTGGGATGGTGGGAGGCATGGTCTGGTTCTCTAGAGAGCAATGTCTGCAAGATAACACCCAGTGCTTTGTTCCTGCTCTCTCTAGCAACAGTGAGCTGCAAACAGCAATTCCCTCTTCTTTTCAGCTCAGCCTACAGTAATAACCAGGTATCACCCACAGGAATGAAAACTACATATTA